GGGGGGGCAGGAGGGTTCCACTAAGTCCTAGAAGGTTAGAGACGAAAATTCCGTTCAAATCAGTTCAACAGGTGATGGTGGTGGCCAATTTCATGGGAACACACCTACATATGCACGCACGCAAACGCACGTACATACAAACACACACACTCATTCACATATGAAAATACACAAACACATACGTGTACACACACTCATACACATACGAAAATACATATGCATACACACACACACACACACACACACACACACACACACACATAATTACATACATAGACCGATATGACCGTCTCAGGTGTGCCTCGAGCTACGCCAAAAAAAAAGCTCAAAAATCAAGTTAAAATCTCACCCACTATTTTCGGTAGTGCGAAAAAGTTGAAAAATAAATCAGCAAAAAAAAATCATAAAAAAACAAACTCCCCTTCTTCCACCAAAAAAAAAAAAATGCAAAACATAAAAGTGCATTAGGTTAGTGGAAAGAAGGAAAAAAAAAGCGAAATGAGGAAGAGTTAATAGTGCGTGCAACAAACTTTTCAGTAAAGGTTCCATACTCGATGCTTCCGACATTGCGACCACGTCATCCAGCGTCGCATACTCATCTGAAACACAAATTCTATTGCATTCCTTGAGATTCAAATACCAGGAATACCCAAAACAACCCGGGAATCAATAGGCATGTAATGGTTTTATTGGGTGGCAAATTCAAATGCTTTATTCATCGTCGACGGGAGACGAGGTGCATGCAAAAACCTATCGTCGAGGTTCGCTACTGATCTTTTTTCTCAAAAAAAACCCTGCTCTTTTAACACCTATTTCTTCATCCTTCCTTTTCTCGTCCCTCTCCACCCCACTCTTGCTCCACCTAATCACACTATTATATCGTTCTTCTGCTTCTTCCTATTGTATTTCTCTTTTCTTTTCTCTAACCGTATATATAAAACTCAATGGGCCGAAACGTCTTATCTCACTCTTATCGAACAATAATGCGCTTATTAACAGAGGTTAATTTTTAAAAAAATAACCAACAGAAATCACCAGCTCGTCGAAGATCCCCTGGATTCAAAGAAAATTTAGGAAGTAGGCCACAACTAATAAAATCCTCACTAAAGATTCTCTGAATCCAGGCGAAGTTTTAGAAGTAGACAACTAAACTTTCTCACAAGTATTGGAGGTTTTGATATCTTGCATAAATACTAAATGATAAGTACGAATGTCAGAAATTACGGTCCGTCTTTGGAATATTGGGCGTTCCGGAGAAAATTATGGTTCTGGAACAAAAGCCAAAGAACTTAATTCCGAACCTAAACATCCGGGTCCATCTTGACCTCTTATACAGTTCATTATGTGGTAAGCCGATTGCAGCAACCAAGTTGACCTTGGAAGCCTAAGTGGCGAAGGCGCGATATATTATAGCATGAAAGAACAATATGAGAAAAAAGGCAAGAGTGAGACAGGAAGTTTCGGTCCATTAAGTCATATACGTCTCAGCTCAACACCGCGCGACAGGAGATCGCGTCAGTATGATGGTCGCAGTGCACAATGGGAAAGGACGAGAAAGGAGGGAAGAAAGGAAGAGAAAGAGAGACGCAAAAACAGGCGGTGCCACATACATCAAACATGACAGGTCCTAACTGGAGGTCTATGCGGCACAGAACTAACAGTACTGACACATAGCTGCGCCTGGGCCGTGTGGGAGCATCTCAGTAACACCACTAACATATCTGAACTGACTGCCCGGGTAGTTCTTTCTATTTTTGATGTAAAGCATTAAAAAAAATCACTAGCCCCCCTATGTCACAATAAATGAACTGATTTAAAAAACAAGAATTTTGGAAAAAAAAACTTACTCATAAGCGGGCCACTTCGTAGCTGCGTACTCCTAGCAATTGGCGTCCGATCATCGCCAATTATTTTTACCGGTACTGAATTGATTGCTGATTGCCGGTACAGAGGATTATTGAATTCCCGGGATTCTATTTCATCCAGCACTGCTTGCGGACGTGGATGATAACTGAAATCGCGACACAAATGCACTTTTACAGCAATTTTGTGCATTACGAAAACTGCCGTTGTATTGGGTCGATGTGAGCAATATTATCAAGGCAAAAAGAAAGGAACTGAACTAGTCATCTGTGGCAAAGACGAGGGAGAGAAGTAAAAGGGCATAGGCAGATCTAGGGCGGGGACGAAGGGAGGGGGAGGGGGAAAGGGGCCTTCGGCGAAGGGTCATTCCTCCTCTCTACTCTCCAGTCGCATAGGTACCAGAGTTGCAGAAGCCCAGGTCTGTTCATAAATCAAACTAAAGTAACTTTAAGTAGCAGTGTTACAACTCTATTCCTAGTTTTTGCACAGTTCTGGGAGTTCGTCCTTGGCGCACCTCACCCCACCCCATCGCCCTCCTCCCCAATACTCTGTCCTGGGATCGCTTATGTAAATGGGCTACTTTTTGGACTACTTAAGGAAACGTGTGAAGTGCTAAGCAAATGCTGGGACAACTGCCGATATATGAAATATAAGGTGAGCAAGGACGGAGTTACAATATGTAGTGGAAGAAGAGGTGGATAAGCAGTCTGTGTTTCATCCCTTAGCTGTAGTTTAGATTGAGCGCAACAAAATAATAAGCGAACAGTTGCCTTTTATACCAATACTAATCGAAGAATCGTGCGAAAAATGAAATGTAGCAGCTATATGAAAGTAAATTAAAATGAATTATGTGAAAATTTACGTGAAAACAGGTAGATCGGGATCTTTTTCTTTGATGTATTTCTTGCGATAGAAAATCGTCCCGAACAAAAGTACGCCTACGGCCAGCAACGATGCAAGTAAAATACCCAGCAACCATTCATTGCGAGCTTTCGATTTTAATAAAGCATCACTTTCTGTAACAGCAAATTTCACAGTAACTAGATGTAATGCTCAATACAAGTTAACGCATGGGCGGATCTGAGGGGAGGGGGCGGGGGAAAGGGTGGGTCCATTGCCCACTCCTCAGTGGCACAGGCAAAGCTAAAACTAAAGTAAACTGAAGCCTAAAGTAACTCTAAAAGCAGCAGTGTGTTACAACTCTATTCCTAGCTTTTGCACAGTTCCGGAGTGGGAGGGAACTCTTTTCCCCGCCCTCAATCGCCCCCTCCCGCCAAGGAGTCCGACCTGGATCTACCTATGAGTCAACGATATTTCGAAATTCGCCCAAAGCATTGTGAAATGCTTATATCGGGGAATCTTTGAGTAGGTAATCCCTTCAGGAGACGAAACGAATGCTAGGATTCTCAGTAGGCTGATCCAATCAGATCATGTTGCATTGCTTAAAGCATCTTTGGAAGTGGAAAACTGCCAGTTTGGAGGACCAAATTATGAATTAACAGATGGTAAATATGCTTTGATTTTGCGCAGCTGATATCCTGCTACGAATCTGCCTCAAAAAATTAACATTCAACTGGCAGAAAACCTAACTTAACAAATAGATGTATATTTGTCCTGGCCCTGAACTACCCGGGAAGTAAAATATTGACAATCGAAGCAGTACAAAATGGAAAATAGCAAATGGGAAAATAACAATGAAATTTATACTTTTCCCTAAAATATATTTCAAAAATTATACTTGATCCTAAAATGTATCTCAAATGGAAACTAAAAAAAATAAGGATCGGAAAATCTGCGAAAAATCAAGGGGCTATGAGAAAGAGAAGCTTACTGGGCAAACGGCATTGATCTTTATCCGGATCACAGCATCCGATTACATTATCACATCGTTCACTGGCCGAACAATTGCATCGCATTGTACAATTGTTGCCATAACTGCCTTCTGGACAAACTGCAAAAAAAAAACATATTTTTTCCTGGGAAAATTCTAATTCTTAGAAATATTATTATTATCATGAGCCTAAAGACAGTATTCAATTCTAAGACTAAATTCAAGGACTAAGCTTATTCTAAGCCTAAATCTGAGCTCAAATTCTATCCTAAACCTAAATTTTAAGCCTAAAATCCTACGTCTAAAAAAAAGAAACGGGAAAACACAACAATATCAACATCCATAAAACACAATAATATCAAAAAATGCTTTAAAATTAGGGGTGGCCGAAGTAAATGACCAGAAATCACGCCCTCACGGCAGCTTTTTTTAAGGCATAAGTTAGGCCCATCGAAGCTTGAAAGGCCAAACCCATTTTTAAAAACAAACTTTAACGGGAGGAAAAAAAACAATGGCAGTAAGATTGAAAAAAACGCATTTCTTTACTTCAAATTCAAAATTTAACCCCCCTCCCTCTTCCCTTCCCCCGGACTTGCTCTCTATGAGAAGCGGAGCCAGTCAGGATATAGCCGAGTGGTAGCAAATGCCAACAGCAGTCAATAGTTACGAAAACTCAGATCAGCCACACAATATGCACTCGTTTCTGGGTTTGAATGCAACTTTAATGCCCAGTTTTTTGACTAAGCGAGATTTACGGTGTCTCATGCGAGACCGTACATGAGGCCCAAGCCTATGTGAAAGCTGAATTCGAGTTTGCGGGGTTGTACATGGGCAGGGAATATTACCCTAAAATTTCAACCTTCTAGCTTTTGTGGTTCTCGAGATAGTAATTTTCCCCACCGGAACCTTCACGGCTCCATAAAACTCTGCAGTTGGTTTCTTGCTGCGCAGCATAAACCGATATACCCCACTCCCTCCAGAATACCCGTCCCTGTTCCTAATTTCTACCTCCTAGCAAGACCTCAGCTATTTTCCAGTCAATGTCTCCGTCCCCTCCCTGCCGTTACAACCTGCTGAAGCTTAAATCACTGCTTCTCCCGCCCCACCCCCCAACCTCTCGTTCCCCTCTTGCTACACCTCACCATCCAAGCGGGGAACTCACAATCATCGCAACTCTCCTCCCAAACTGGCCGAGCCGAGTTTTACTTAGCGCCTTGCAACCAACCACTGGCAGGGCTGTTACAGCAGTTGCTTACAAGCAGGCTGATGGCAAGTTTGTCTTCCTGGCATATGTCAGTGCCAAGTTTATCATCGAAATGATGGGTGAGTCACAGGAAGGGCTGGACTTCTCCACCAGTGCAGTTAAACAACCTATATTTACCATAGTTATAGCGCTAATCTCTAACTGCTTTAAGCCAAAAGCTCTCAAAGCAGTGTATCGTTGGGAAAGTATGGCCTAACCGATAACACAGCAATGTTCGGGGATGGGAAGGTGGTACTGAACACACAGAACAGTTCGGATATCTAGAAACGGCTAAAATCTTGTTAAATGCTTCTACCGAGAGAACCACTGAACAGGTAATCCGATATTTCCTTCGAGAGAGATGAAATGAACGCTTATACCGCCAGAGAGTGACCATCAGGCAATGCAGCATTGGTCAGAGCAAGTGGTCAGCGTACAGTTGGAAAACCTATTATAAAATGGCATAAAACGTTTGAAAGATGAGATCGGATGTTTCGCTTCAACAAGTTCCACATAATATTTGTAAAAACCCATGTATTAGTTAGAAATTCAGAAGGAAAAAAACAAACTTTCACAGCTTCCCTGTGGTGTTTCGAAAAATCCATGGCAGCACTTGTATACAATTTTCTTCTTCTTTGTCGGTATACCTTTATATGAAATTTTCGTTCCATTACTGCAAAATTTTTAGGAATCATCATCATGCGCACTGAAGAAATACAAGGAAGTGCAAAAAATGATGATTTTTTTTTTCCAACGGAAAATGATCGTTGTTTCAAAAACGATGATTTCCACTAATAATCAACATTCACTGAAAGACGCATACTTTTTGACTTTGCATCGAAATCCTTGCGAAATATCCCAGCATGCTTCGGTGGTATGCAAAACAACAGTCTGCTCATGCTTCTGTAGACTCAGATGTTCAGTCCTGCAAAAAAAGAAATGGCTGTTACTGTTATTGCATTATTATTACTATCATTATCATTGCTTTTATTGTTGTTATTTTATTGCTATTATTAATATTATTATTGTTGCCATAATAATAATAATAATAATAATAATAACATTAATAACATTATTATTATTATTATTATCATTATTATCGTTATTATTATTATTTATTATTATTATTGTTATTATTATTATTTTATTTCTCCGTGAAAGAGTGTTTTCGTTGGAAAGTGTGCTTTTTTAGAAGGAACAAAAATTTATGAGTTCTTGACAACCATTCTCTCTCTCTCTCTCCGTGTTGTTTGATATTCTGGGATGTTGTTCATGCCATGTCAAGTGCATCATTAAGGCAACACTGGCGCTTGCTTTAACAATACTGTTATTTGCGCTTCCTCTCTGTTTGCTTGTGATTGTCCCTCAGCAGTGAGTGCACGCCAGAATGGCGCAGTTCCGTTTTTGGAGTGTATATGGATGGGGTCAATACACTGACCACCGAACGACATCTGCTGAATGGGAGGGCGAAGGTCATCATAGTGCACTTTATAGAAAATGAAAGAGGAGTTCTTGCCTTGGATGAAACGTCAACTAACTCGGAAACTCAAAAAATTCAAAATCTCCTCCAAATTCGTTCTCTGTGAGACACGGAAGCACTCGGGAAATATTCTGGAAGTAGCAAATGCCAACAGTAACTTTCCACTGGTAGAGCTATTGGTGTCTCAAAACATTTGTATTACTTGACTTCTAAATTCCCTTTTTTCTATAATGTATATATACAAATAAATAAATATGTATATGTATACATATACAAATATATATACGTATATATATATATATATATGTATTACATTTCAAAATTAAGACCAGCAATCTATTTACAGAGAACTGATAGGAACGAAGGCTACTAGCTGAAGACAAATGTATCCCGCAGGAAAAAATTGAACTTCCAAAATATTGACAAAATTTTTAAAAATCGGAATTTAATCGGTGCTGGGAAATTGCCTTTGATGTAACCGCCACCAGTTTATTTAAGGCAAACGGTCAAAGGACGGGATGACAATTAGCAGTTAGGACAGAAAAAGTGACGCAACTGAGGCGGGCACTTCAAAGCCTATGTAATCAAAAGAATATACAATTCCAGGCTTCCCTCTATTTCCAGCTACCGCAATACGTGGAAAATTACTCATTGACCGTTAAAGGTACGCTAAAACAATGCCCTAAGGAAATCAACAGGCAAATGAAGTCCTTTACATCGTAGAAATATAATAAAAGTAGCCAAATATTATTTCTAGATACTGAATAAGAAATCTTTAAATTGTACAAGGACAGAGAACTTCTTCCCAGAATTTCAGTTTTTTTAGCTTTTCTGGTCCCCAAGTTAGCAATTTCCTGCCAAAACTTTCATGTGCTCGAATATGAGTTTTAGACGTGCATGAAAATTGGTATAATGTTTTCTGAGATATACGCATTTCCAAATTTTCAAAGGCGCTCAAAAAGGACCGTCCCCCGATTGGACGACCCCTTATAGACAGTATCCTGTGCTATTTACGAAATATCCTTTGGCGGGAAGAGACCAGACGTCACTTCCCGTCAGGGGGTATTTCGTAATCAGCCGAGAGAGGCATTTGGGGGGTGTGAGTGGAGGAGAGACAATTGGCGGGAAGAGGGGGTCGATAAATTTCAGCCATCTCTTAGCGCCAAATATTTTTAAATTGTGAAGAAACGAATATGAGGTCGCAGGTGGCTTTTTTATGCGTTTTGTGCTGTGTAACAGCAGTACAAAACGCATATTGTTACGGGGTTGTCTGT